TTATTGATCCACTCTGTTGTTGATTGATGTCAGAGTAATAAATACATTAGCGACAACAACAGCAACGACAGTATTTGCAATTATTAAGCAAGTCTGCGGTGTTGATTGTTTTAGTAACAAGTGCAACAACATCATCAGCAACAACAACACAAGTCGAATTGCATTGCAAGATTGAATGTTTGCAACATTTCAGACCATGCACTTGCACATCTACAAATTCTACTAAATAAGAGGTTAAAATGATGCTTTTATTTTTTGCAGGTATTTTGCTGACCCAAACCGAATTACGGAGTTCGGTTACACCGTCACCACCTCTCCTCCGAAGAATCTTCAAATCAAGAAGAAGTAGAAAATAATGTCTGAAGATCAGAACGCAACCACCGGAAATGATGACGAAAAGAAAGTGACGTCAGAAAATGTCCGTCAAATGAAGGCTGTGACCTTGACGGGTTTCGGTGGGATCAGGATGGTGAAAGTTCAACAGAGACCAGAAAGTAAGCCTGGGCCTGGAGAGATATTGATCAGAGTGAGGGCAGGGTAAGGTTAATTTTGATTTAGTTAATTATATAATTATTATCATGATGAAATAATTTTGATTTTTAACTGCGGTCCAGTGTGTAAACATCGAATTTTTCACAAAATTTGAATTTAACTTTACTTACATTACTTTTTTTCAAAGAATATTCATAATAGAATGAACCAAATACATTTTAAATAGAATATCAACCAAACGCATTAACTAGCATAAATTTACTGCATGCTGTTTGAAATTAGTTCGAAGTCATACATTCACTCAACTGAACATTTCAAATATTTGAACCAATCAAACACAGGGGCATCAACTTTTCAGACCTGATGGTGAGACAGGGTGTGATTGAGAACCCCCCAAAGACCCCCTTCATCATGGGATTTGAATGTTCGGGCGAGGTCGAATCGCTTGGTGAAGGTGTTAACGGTTTCTCGGTAATTTTTAGATTTATTTAATTTCTGATCATTTAAAAAATAAATGACGTTTAAATGTTTTTTAATTTTTGATATAAATGAAACAAAGCTGCTCCTAGCGATAATGTAATTTACGGATTTGTCACTGTAATTTTCCACCATTTCTTGTATTCACTTTCTCTCTTTCTCTCTCTCCTTCTTTTCCCTATTCTCTTCTTTTTTTTACATATTTCTTTTGCCATGTTTTTATCATTATTTTATTTAGTAATTTCCTTACAAGGTTGTTATTTTCTTCAGATTGGCGACAGAGTCATCGGTATATCGGACTACAAGTGTTGGGCTGAGTCGGTATGCTGTGGCGAGTCATTCGTCTACAAGATTCCGACTGGTATGTCGTTTGAGGACGCGGCAGCCATCTTCTTCAACTACGTCACTGCTTACATTCTGCTGTTTGACATCGCCAATTTGAGACCGCACCAGTCGGTGCTAGTCCATTCGGCAGGCGGTGGAGTGGTCAGTTGACAATTTTGGAATTTTTCGGGAGTTGAATTGCTATTTTGTATTTATCAGTAACAACTAATCAAATAACCTGTCAAATAGCCAACAACATAACTGACCATTCAACATAACTGACCAACCAACCAACCAATCAACCAACCAACCATCCGACCGACCAACCAGCCAACCAATCAAAAAACCAACCAACCGACCGACCAACCAACCAACCGACCAACCAACCAACAAACCAGGGAGTAGCAGTTTCCCAGTTGTGTCGCACGGTTGAAGGCGTGGTGCTATTTGGAACTGCATCCAACTGCAAACATGAATCCATTAAGAACATGTACGATCACCTTCTAGATCATTCCGTCGATTACGTACAGGAAGTTAGGAAGTTAGTGGATCTATTAATTTTTTTTCGTTTGTTCATTCGTTCTTTCATTCGTTCGTTCTTTTGTCCGTTTGTTCGTTTGTTGTTTCGTTCGTTTTTTCGTTTGTTGGTTCCTTCGTTCGTTCATCACCATCTATCCGTCCGTTTACCCATTCATGCATTTGATCATTCATTCAATCATTCATCATAAATATTATAACCATTAATAAAATTATTATCCTCCATTATTATTATTACTATTATTATTATTATTATTATTGTTATTTATTATTATTTTTATTATTAATATAAAATAAATATAGAATCAGCCCTGAGGGTGTGGACATAGTGCTGGACAGTTTGTGCGGCGAGGATACAAACAAAGGAATATCCCTCCTGAAACCGCTCGGAAAATACGTTCTATATGGTAATTATTAATAATAATAGCATAAATAATAATAATCATGATCATAATAATAATCACAATAATAACAACAACAATAATAATAACAATAATAATAATAACCAGTAGCGACAGAAGTTTTCTCCTGCTAGAACAACTGTTGTAGTAGTAGCAATAGAAGTGACAACTGCAGCAGTAATTGTTTTAGTAGTACTAGTTGTGGTAGTAGTTGTATTATTATTATTATTAGTAGTAGTAGTAGTAGTTGATGTAGCGCTACTAACAGCAGCAGCAGCAGTAGTAATAGTTGATATTTTATACGCGAAATTTTGTCATTTCTATATCTTCAGGATCCTCAAATATCGTGACTGGCGAGACCAAGAGTTTCTTCAGCTTTGCCAAATCAGTTTGTTTCAAGAGAAAAAAGAATAAATATCTTTTTATAATCTAACAATTAATATTATTATAGAATTTTAATTATGACGTCATCATATACATGATGACGTCATGCCATACATGATGGTTACAAATTTGCAGTTGATTAAATCAATTTAATAATTTGACAACTAGTCATACTAAATAAAATACATAAAAATAAATATTGAAAAGTGGTGGCAGATGGACAAGATAAGCCCAATTCGTCTGCACGACGAAAACAAGACAACTTCCGGCTTCAATCTGCGTCACTTCCTGTTTAAACAATCCGGAGCGGAAAGAGTAAAAGTGGTCCTGGAAAAGATTTTTAATCTGTACAATAAGGGGAAGATTAAGCCAATCATTGATTCAGTTTGGGCCTATGAGGATGTTGGTTTTGTTGTTGTTTGCTTCTGTGTTTGTGATGTCATTTATGCTGCTGTCGTTGTTTCTGTTGTTGTCGTTGCCGTTGTTGGTGTCGTTTTGTGGATGTTGATTTTTATAAGGCTGTGGTTGAAATCGTTAGTAAGGTTGTTTTTAAATAATAATGATTTGGATCATTCCCGTCATCTTTATCTTCATCCTGTTCATCTTCATCATCCTCATTTGTTATCATCGTCGTCGTCATCATCTTCTGCATCTTCATCATCATCATCATCCTCTGCATTTTCCTCTTCTGCACCATCAACATCATCGTCAACATCAACCTCAGATAACTGAAGCCATGCAGAAGATGCATGATCGAAAGAACGTTGGAAAGCTCTTGTTAGATCCCAAGATGGAGAGCAAGAATAAGAACGAGGTTGTTATCATCTTCATCATCATCATCGTCATCGTCGTCATCATCATCAACAACAACATCAGCATCATTATCATTATTATTATTATTATTATTATTATTATTATTATTATTATTATTATTATTATTATTATTATTATTATCGGGCGGCAGCATAGCGTAGTGGGGGAGTGTCCGTCTCATATGAAGCTTCAGTCATTGGGTTCAAAAGCACGTATGGGAAAAGCTTTATAAATCACATGTTATTGTTTATGGATTATTATTATTATTTTATTATTGCTATTAATAAAAATACAGAAAGTTCCGGAAAGTCCCAAGAATAATGAGACACCGAAATAATTTTTCCTCATCATCATCAGTATCTTTAGCATCTTAATCACCATTATCATCATCATCATCGTCATCGTCGTCGTCGTCTTAATCATCATCACCAACAACAATAACATCATCATTATCATCATCATTATCGTTAAAAACTTAATTGTTATACAATTGAATGTGTTCATAAATAAATAATTAATAATAACTAATAAAAATTTTTTACGAGCGATCGAAGGATTGAATGAATTGTGGATAAATAGATAAATGAATGATTGAATAAAAGAATCACTATCAATCTATCTATCTATCTCTCTTGATATCATTTCGTAGTTTTTGTGTTTCGAGAGAGAACTTAGTGCTGTTGTTGTGTAGTCGTTATTTGAGATGATTTGTGATCAAGATTTGATACCGCGGTAACAAATTATATAACAATGATATCCTTTGTATTTGAATTACTACTACTACTTCTACTTCTTCTTCTACTACTACAACTACTTCTACTACTACTACTATACTACTTCTACTACTACTACTATACTACTACCAATAATAATAATAATATTCTTATTATTAAAAAGTGTACAATTTTGTGTTATAAAATGTGATATATATATATATATATATATATATACTTTCTAATTAATACATGGATTTACATTTTAAAACCGTTCCTAAATGTTTTGCTTGAACGCACACACACACACACACACACACACACACACACACACACACACACACACACACATACACACACACACACCAACACACACACCAACACACATATCCATATACAAACACATACATCCATAAACACGCATTTTCAAATTTATCGTGTAAAAAGGCTTAATGATACAATTACGATGTATTCATATATATTGATTATTACACACACACATGTAAATTTACACACACATACATTTACACGCACACACATACATCACATATACACACATACACACAGAGTTTATATATTTTTAACTATTTATTTTCTGAATGCATGCGAAATATACCATCTTAGATATTGTTATTTATTTATATATATATATATATATATATATATACATATACATATATATATGTATATATATATACATTTGATGTTGTGAATTCATATTCATACACGCACACACACACACACACACACACACACACACACACACACACATATATATATATATATATATATATTATACAAACTCCAGTCTATCCGATGATTAGTTAAGTGTGTCATGTTTCGAAATAAATATATATAAATGAATAAATAAAATTGAAACTTGATTTCATTGAGTGTGTTTCAATTTTTTTTAATAAATAACTTTCCTAAATATGCAAGAAGATTTAAGCCTAAATGAGATAGTGAATATTTTCTATTAGGTTGCGGGAGGCTCATTGGTTCAGAGATCATTTTTTTCCATTTCATAGTGATGACCATCTTATCCTAATGTATGTATCAGCCAGAGATATTAACAAGACACATACACGCACTGTTTATCACATATGATAGATATGATATGATACATGGAGGTTCTTCTATATTAGTTCATCACATAAGATAGATATGATATGATGGAGGTTCTTCAATATTAGTTCATCACATAAGATAGATATGATATAATACACAGGGGTTCTACTCTATTCGTTTATCACATATGATAGATATGATATGATGGATGTTCTTCTATATTAGTTCATTGCACAAGATAGATATGATACGCTGAGATTTTTATGCATTTGGATACGGTCACCGAATCGCGAGATTTTTAACCATTACACACTCCACTGTCCAATGTGTAGAGATTGTAGTCTTCAGTTTAATGGTCAAGCTTATCGGAAGAGAATAGTATTTTTTATTTAGTATCATATTTGGATCAGTTTGATGATTGATTGGCCAGTTGGTAATCAATGAACGAATGATTGATTAGTTGATTGGTTGGCTAATCAATTTAGCAATACTTAACTGAGTGATTGAAATGAACAACAATGTGAACGCAAGGTTGTTTTAAGTATTATAACAGCAAATGGAAAATTAACCTACGACAATGAAGATAAAACAATACATTTTGAAATAAACAACGACGTTTAATGTTAATTAGATAATTAATTGATTGGTCCTTTAATCAATCAATTAATCAATTGAATAGTTAATCAATTAATTAATTAGCAACAATCAAAAAATTCTGCAATGTATAAAATGATTATAACGTTATAAAGTGTTTGATAGTTTGTTTGATAGTGTTTGAAAGTGAACGGCTTTGGTGGAATAATTAGTTAATCAATCAGTTAATCAATCAATTAAATAATCATTTAATTAATAATTAAAATTTATATCGAAGAAGCAGATTACATGATATCGAAAGAAAATGGTTGGAATAATGTTGAAGAAAACGAAAAACATGAAATATTTTTTTAATTTTGAAGTTTCGATTTACATAACAAACTAATAAATAAACCGATAATACAATTAATAAACAAATTAATTAATAAATTTAATAAATTAATTAATAATAGGTTTCATCTTTCAGCCATCCTTCTGACTGTCCTCTCATAATGGCCTTCCTTATCTCGTCGTACAGCAAAATGACCACACTGAACGGAAGAGGGGCAAACCACCAGGTCCATCTATGGCAAATTTATTGAATGAAAAATAGATTGATCGAATGAATAAGAGAATGAATGAATGAATAAATGAATGAATGAATGAATGATTAAAAATGTGATAAAAAGATTTAAAATTACTTCAAGGGATACATTCTTAAGCCCTTATCCAGTCCTGGGCAGTAGGCCAGGAAGATGGCCAGCGTTGTCTCGAAGAAGAGTCCAAACACAAGTCTATAATTACTTTAAACGTAGCAATACCCATTCATTCATTCATTCATTCATTCATTCATTCATTCATTCATTCATTCATTCATTCATTCATTCATTCATTCATTCATTCATTCATTCATTCATTCATTCAATAATTCCTCTATCAATCATTCACTCATCCTTTTATCAATTCATTCACTCATTCATTAACTAATTTATTCACTCGTTTAGCAACTATTTACTCGTTCACTCACTTATCATAGTTAACTGTAACGAACGAACGTACGAATGAACAAATGAATGAATGAATGAATGAATAAATGAATGAATGAATGAAAGAAGAAAGGAATGTAATAGTTAGAAACTTACGTCATCCCTTGGTGAATAACTGAATTCATCCTAGTCTTGCAGATAATCAAATCAGCCCATTGCACAATTACTATTGAGGCAAAGAAGGCGGTGTGACAGGTGTACTCCAGAACCTTCCTTTGGCCGTATGTCTTGGTATTCCAGTATTAATATACAATATATATATAAATATATATAACAACCAATATATATATATATAGACCAATATATATATATATATATATATAAACCAATATATTTATATATAGACCAATATATATATATATATATATATATATATATATATATATAGACCAATATGACCAATTGCTATAAATTTTGTGGCATAGCAGGGCAGGGTAATAGATATCAATTATAAACTTACAAATGGCAAAACAAAAAACTCTTATTTATGCGTATATCTGTGTATTCTGGAAATACTTATAGCGCACACAAATACACAAATAGCAGATAGCAGGCAGACAGACGGAAAGACAGACAGATACACGTACCCATTCTTGTCCATATGAGTCCAAAAGGTCATTAACACTTGGTGAGTCCCATTCAACTCGCAGGCCTAGCAGTCTTACTAAAGGAAGTATGAATTAGTATGTATTTAATTACGGATGAATGAATAAAAGATTCAATGTTGAACAAATGGGTAACTGAATGAAGAAATGTATGAGTGGATATAATAAATGAACAAATAAACAAATGAACAAATGAACAAACAAAAGAACGAACGAACTCAAAAAATAAATGAACTGAAATTTAATGAACAAACGAACGAATAAATAAATAAATAAAAAATTAATTAAACGAATAATTGAGTGAATTAACAAAAAATAAACAGTAAAAATATTAACGAGGAGTAAATCCATTTTCCGCCATGATTACGAAGTAAACGTAGAAACCCGCGCAAGCCTGGATCATCCCTATCTGTCCGTAAGCCATGCTAATCAGCCTGCAAAGAAATTTATTTGCGTCATGCTGGTCTCATTACTTTTTGAATTAATGAATTCGTCGCAGGACGTCATTCACACTCGTCCAACCGAGTCGTAAACCTCTTAAACCTACCTACATACCTGTCTACCCACCTACCTGCCCACCTACCTACCTACCTACCTATTATTGACTAATTTATCCTTAAGAGGATCTCTCGGCTTCCTATCCATGATATCAGACTCAGCCTTCTCGTATGCCAGTGAAATAGCAGGAACCATATCCGTGCCCAGGTCGATGCACAGGATTGTTATAGTCCCGAGCGGCAGTGGGATGTTGGCAGTAATGTAAAAGAGGAACGGACTGATCTCCGGAATGTTACTCGTCAGCGTGTACGCGATAGATTTCTTCAGGTTGTCGAATATCAAACGCCCTGTGAAAATTTAGATCCAAGCTTGTAATTGGAGGTTTAGTGTCGTTGTGTATTGCTGTATCTACACGAATTAACCTTTTTTATACGTTGCAAAATGTTCATTATGGTAGTGTTGAGATTGATAATAAAGAATTGTATAAATTTCATCTTCACAACTTCACCTTCTTCAACTCCAGTCACAATAGAAGCGAAGTTATCATCAAGTAGAATCATATCGGCCGCCTGCTTGCTCACGTCAGAACCTGATATCCCCATGGCAACTCCTTCCCATATATGTGCAGTGCATATATATGTAAATTTATCCATCTCACACACACACACACACACACACACACACACACACACACACACACACACACACAAACACACATACACAAACACACACACGCAAACACGCGCACACGCAAACACGCAAACACGCGCACACACACACGCACACATACAAACATCACACACACATATATACACACACATACATACACAAACACACACAAAAACACACACACACGCACACATACAAACAAACAAACACACGGTCCAACCGATATCAGCTTTCTTAAGAGCAGGCGAATCATTAACACCATCTCCAGTGACTGCCACAATGGCGCCTAGTCTTTGACAGCCTTTTGTTTTCAATTAATTAAAATAATAATTTTCATCTTTGAAATTGCACGTTTTCGAAAATATTAGTAACGTTCCTGTCTTCTGTGCAGTAGTGACTGGATTCAAATGCGAAAAGATTCATGTATATGATGTGCTGCCTTTGTAGATGCGTTTTTTGCTCACGCAACATGTTTTTAGAGAGCAGATTTCAAGCGTCTTTCACACTCGTGCAGAGCGCTATACAACTGTACCAGACCAAAGTACCAACGACAACAAACAACAATAACAAGAACAACAAGAACAACAACAAACAACAAAATTACTTTCCACAAAACAACGAACTGACCTTCGACAATGACCAATTTTTGTTGCGGCGAAGTTCTGGCGAAGACAATTTCATCATGTTCCGACAAAATATCGTCCACTTCATCTTGGTCCATCTCTTTCAGTTGAGATCCGTGCACTACGCACGCTTTCGTTGCCTCACTGTGTTCGGACGGTGTTTCTTTTTTGTTATTTTTACTATTTTTGTGGTTAACTGTTTTACAAAATTTGCCGATAACAATAAAAGCAAATAAGACAACATTAATAATAATAGAAATATAAACAATTAAGTAATTATTACGATAATTATACTATTATTATTAAAAATTTCAGAACTGATCTTCTTTCGAGAGCAATGACTTCTCTTGCTTGGCACTGAAATCATCAGTAATCTTCGACCCTGTAGTTCGTATTCGAAATTTTCAGAGTTTTAGAGTTTCATATTTTCATTATGTTAGTCTGCCTGCTTTAATACGAAAATATTTTCTAAATTCGAAAATGGCGGTCCATTTATTATAAATTACTTTTTGATATTAATAAAATAAGAAAGCATAACACTACCGAGCGCATTTAGAATGGCTCGTATAAAGTAAATATAACTAAGGACCTCATGTATTTTATCGTTCGTTTGTGTATTTCTCTGTTTCAGACGCTGTGTACCGCTTGTTACTCTTAGATGCTATCAGCATGTATATTGATTCAAGATACATGGTTATCAGTCATTATACCTCGCGTGAAAGTTTTTTTTATATGATCTGAGAAGTTTTTTTAAATTGAAGAGTTAAAAGACACTTACATAGATAGAGGATATGATTAAACTGAAGTTAGATAGGTTTAGGCTTCATTTCCTACAAAATTTTACTCATTTTCCTTGAAGAATTTCTTCCCAAGAGCGGTGTAATGCAACTCTTAGCTATGAAATTAGTTCAGTCTTTACGGTTATAATTTAGTTTCCAGAAAGTAAAAATACGGGAAATAAATTTTTTTATAAATTTTTATAACAAATTTAGATAAAATAAATATAAAATAAGGGAAAATTTTTTTTATAAATTTTTATAACAAAATTAGATAAAATAATTATGTGAAAAGACGTTGTCGATCACCTTCTGTTATAATTCCGACATTTTTTGCAATGGCCATGGCTGTGGTCGGGTGGTCGCCAGTCACCATGATCACCTTTATGCCCGCACTTCTGCATTTTCTCACTGGTTGAATTGTTAGTTTCGAATTTTTAAACAAATGAATAAAAATCATTTTCAGTATAATTTACCTATAATTATCTTTATAATAAAATAACTATAACAATAATTATCTATAGGTAAGCGTTACCATTACGATGTTATGTATAACATTCAAGAATGCGACATTATGTATAAGATGAAATATGGTCAAATTTATGTAACACACGTAATTTAATCTGTAATTTGTAAATTTTAACAGATTACTTCATAATTACATATTCATATTTATTGTTGAATAACTTCTTTATAGTTAAATAATTCATTAAATAAATTCCCTAATCAAATGACATTTTATCTTGACATAAACAAAATTATAAATTAATTCTATACAAAAAAAAAATTGAAACCAGCATCAGGTACGTTGGCTCTCGGCGGATCAACCATCGAAATGAGTCCTAAAAATCTAAGCCCAGTGACTGGAAAGTTGATGTCATCTGCATTAAATTCAAAACCTCTAGGGTAGGAATCTTTTGGCAGTTCCAAGTCACAAAACCCTAAAACTCTATCCCCGATATTTCCAAGTCTTAGGCAGTGCATGTCGAAACGCCTTTTCCAGTATTTGTTCAATTCCAGCCCTGTGCCGTGCATTAAAATCCTGTTACATTTTTCAAAAATTTTTTCAGGAGCACCTTTCATGACGAGGATGTGGGAGCTGAAATCATTTTCGTTTTCCAGTTCATGTATGGAGAGCTGGAAAAAGTTGTTTCATCGTCTCCAATAAAGTCAGGTTATGTCTAATCTTAGAATGAAAAACTTTCAGTAGATTAATGAAAAACAAATTAAAATTATTATAAATTTTTTAATTTATTGAAATGCTTCGTACGGTTGCTGTATTTTTTTCCAAACTATCCTTACAGGAGGCATTGTAATATGTTATGAAAAAAAAAACAAATTGATCAATATATATTTAACCGTAATGACATCATTAACAAACCAGACAACAACATCAACCCAACAAAAACAATAAAAATAATGAATAAGAATAATAAAACATACCTGGTACTTATTAACAGAGTTGAACGGGACCTCGCAGACTTTCCTTAATCGTTGCCTGTACTCTTCAACGTTAGTTCCTCCAAGTTCCATGATCTTCAAGATGGCCGACTCCGAAGCGTCACCAATGCACTCTCTAAAAAATATTCATTTCCTTTTTATTACGTAATCATTACTATTATTATTTCCTTTGTTGATTTTATTATTTGTATTATTTCCACCTAATCTTCATTGTGCAGTTCGGACAATCGCAGAACTGCTTAGATATTATTCTTATGTTTAAACCTCCGTGCCACAAAGGCCGTACTGCTGAATACCACACGGGGTTCAAACATATTACGCGCAAGCACAGCACCGCATCATACACGCATGGCTGGCGTATGACGGTCTTTGAATTTCGGACAGACAGTATTCAATCGAACCAGGCCATTCTTATTATCATTTTTGTCATTATCATTAAAAAGATATACACAAATGTGCGATTATATTAGTTGATCTCAAGCTAATGTAAAAGTTTCATAACTCCTACAAAGAACTTTGGGAATATTTAAAAAATTTAATAACAACAATAATAATAATAACAGAGGAAACTGAATGATAACAAAAATAATATAAATAGCAATAATTAACTACCTTTTCATTACTTCAATATTTTCTTGACCTCTTTTGAACTCGGCCCTACTGCACAGCATGCCAACTCGAGAATATTCATTCCAAGATCTGGATAGCTTAGGCGATCTCAACGCTAATAACAATGATAAAAATAACGGTGATGAGGATGATGATGATAATAATGTTATGTGTTTGCGTTTGCGCGTGGATGTTTGTTTGTGTGTGCGTGCGTGCGTGCGTGTGTGTTTGTGTGATATTCACCATCATTTGATTTGGTGAGATCAATTTGAAAGAAAGTATCATCGAGCCACATGTGTGAGACCGTCATTCGATTTTGTGTGAGGGTTCCCGTTTTGTCGGAGCATATTGTTGAAGTCGACCCCAACGTCTCCACCGCTTCCAGGTGCTTCACAAGGCAGTTCTTCTTGGCCATTCGTTTGGCGGTTAATGTCAGGCAGACCTGAACGAAATGGAAGTGACTTTTGAAGATTTTACTTTTTTTTCAATAAATGAACTGGAAAACCAAAAAAATAGAAAATGAATCACAAACAGTAACAGTAGCAAGCAATCCCTCAGGCACATTGGCGACGATGATTCCAATCAGGAAAATAACGGCGTCAAGCCAGTTGTAGCCGAGAATGAATGCGATGATGAAGAAAACCACACCTAAGAAAACAGCCACACCGGTGATGAGGTGGATGAAATGAGCGATTTCCTTCGCAATTGGAGTTTCGCTCATCTCAATTCCCGAGGCCAAGTTGGCGATTCGACCGATGACTGTACGATCACCGGTGTTTACCACGATCCCCCTTGCCGTCCCTTGGTGTTTTCAGTTTGAATGTAACACGGAAATAATAAAATGTAATGTTTAACTTTAAAATAATTTCTTTAATTGATAAGTATTAGTTTAAACGTATGCCCTGTACAATGCAAATAACAAAACACAAGGCGCCAAAATCACGCTCGAATGCAAGAAAAAACTCGAAAGCAGCTTGTAGATTCAAACAGTTGATTTGAAATTATGTGGAGGATGATATCACAAGCGACACCTCTGCAACGAGCCATTTGATGAACAAATTGAAACTGAAGAAGCAGTTCATTTGAATGAATTTGGAGATGTGTGAACCTTCGACGGCGTTCGTGGAGAAGAATGCCAGGTTCTTCGCCTCCAGCGGTGCATCGTGCGTGCATTCAACCACTCTACTCTGCGGCTCAGACTCGCCAGTTAGAGAAGAATTGTCAACCTGATGTAAAATAAAATGTCTGTGACCAATTTCACTAAAAATTATCACAATCAAATTAATAAAAGTATTTACTCAATCTCCTAATATTTTACTAAGAATGAATGCAAGCACTCAAATATGCAGCACTTAAGATTGCCATTGTTGAAAATATTTGCATGAACTTGACACATTCAACCAAATGAATATTATAAGACAAGCCTACGAACCTTGAATCCACTGCATGAAATTATCCTGACATCAGCCGGCACTCTGTCACCAGATTTAATTTCAACGAGGTCTCCAATTACCAGGTCCTCGGCTCTCACGTTCAACTTCTCGCCTTCTCTTATCACTAATGCGAACTGGTACGAGTAAAATTATATCGGAATGTATTGGAATAAAAATGTATCGGAATAAGAATGTATCGAAATAAAAATGTTTCGGACTAAGAATGTATCGGAATGAGAATGTATCGGAAAGAGAATGTATCGGAATGAGAACGGGAGATCGGAATAGGAAAGTATCGGAATAAGAATATATCGGAATAAGAATGTATCGAATTAAACGTTGTATAAATGTTTCAAGAAGTGACTTTTTTACGTCACTTTGCCACAAAATAATTACGTTTCAACAACGGACAGATAGGTGTTTGTTTTTGAGTGGCTGGTTGCGTATATTCCATTGAAAAGGAGAAAAATTGAATTGTAAACAAATATAACAACGCTAATCTGCAACCTGAGGAACCATATTTTTGAAAGATTCCATAATTTTTGAACTTTTGGCCTCTTGATAGTAGGAGAATATGCCTGTGACGATGACGACACCCGTCAACACGATGCCCAAGTATAACTGGACATTGCGTTATGTTTGGCAAATAATAACAATATTAATGATTTATAACGACACCAATTAACAATGATTCGATCAAGCAATATACCGCGTATATAATAACAACGTGCTGTGTGTGATTGATAACATGTCTGCCAAGCAATGCTGTTGAAGGGACTAATTGGAAATGTTTGTGCATTCTAAAAATAGAAATTTCCATCTCACGTGATCTCCGGGCGGACTCTCTACGGACGAAACGACGATGCCGTAAGCCACAAAGCACAAGACCGCTCCTATCCACAACAGCATGGAGAACCCACCAAACAACTTTTGGAAAAATATTTTTTCTTTACATTCATTAATACTTATTTAATTATAATGATATTATTAATAATAATTACCACATAAGTGACGTAACTCTTGACTTATGTATATAGGATGAACCAATAAAACATTGAAATTTACGGAAACAAGAAAAAATGATACAAAAAATCATTTATTTTTCTTGAAAAACATCAACAAACATCATTATAAACATAAACCAAACACTAAAAAATATCAAAAAAACATGGATACGTAGAAACACAAAACATTTACAAACATATCAATGAAATAATTCAGTTTCAGGTAAACTGGAAGTATGACGCGTACGCACCTGCTTACAAAATTTAATCCATTCCGGAACAGTTTTTGGTGGGGTAAGTTGATTGGGGCCATCACGTGACAAGATTTCCTTGTACTGTTCTATTCTTAGACCCTTTTTAGTCAATGTTTCACCAATTAGAAACTAGAATTAATTAATAAAATAATGAATGATGGAAAATTAGGTTGTATGTAATAGATTAGACATTTAAAAAGTTTGTCGATGTCATCGTCATTCTCATCATCATCATCCGTATCATCATCATCCTCGTCGTCATCATTTTCATCATCATCATTTAACCCTTTGAAGATCAGTTTGATATTTTGAAGCGAGCTCCGCCAGGCTCAGCTTGTGGTCGGACTGTGCGTTAATTGGGCAAAAAAATTTTGAATTATCTATTAAATTATAATAAAAGATAATAATAGTGATAATAATAATAATTATTATTACTATAATTACAATTATTATCATAATAACAATAATTAAAACAAAATGTACATAAAAAACACTACCATTTCGACTTCCCTCTTCAACTGTTCCAGATCGCTTTCATCCTTATTTTTCTTTCGTTTTCTTTTTCCTTTCTTTTTTCCTTCTCTTTCTTTTTCGTCTACTTCTCTTCTTTCCTCTTCTCTTTCTCTTTCTCGTTCTCTCATTCTCTCTTCCTCTTCTTCTTGTCCATCTCTCTGCAGTTCTTCATTCTGTCGATCGTGCTTCACTATGACCGTTGTCGATTTGTCCGATTGTGATAGGTCGAAATTTATTTTCTATTAATTATTAATAATTATTAATTAATTATTGATTGCTAATATTTAGCGAATTATTATTTATAGTTGTTTAATTATTAGTATAAATATTAAGGGGTAGCAAAGGGAGTTTTGAGGTTTCATTCCTCCGTATCTTTGTTAAAATTTTGGTTAAATTTCACGAATTCTTTAAAGAATGTTTGTAGTCAAACCGAAAAAGTTGATTTAGTAAATTTTTGTGAAAAATAATATTGGTTCTAATTTAGTATTAGATTTTTGCGGACCTAATTTTGGCCACACCAGCAAACATTTTTGTGGTTTTTGACTAAATTTTATTTAAAATTTCGGTCTCCCTCGTAAACGTTGTCTGGATTCTTCCTTGTCCTAATTCTAAAATTTCGTATTACGCCTCTTTTAATTATTATTTTTAGTTATCATCCAACTTCAATCATTATCAATTTTAACGAGGATTTAGTTTCAATTCGATAATGAATGAATGAATGAATGAGTGAATGAATGAATGAAAAACTGACTGAATGAATAAACGAATGAATGAATGAACAAACGAATGAATGAACAGACCAACGAATGAATGAATGAATGATAAATAAAAACAGAAAACTAACACTACTCATTTTTGAATTGTTCTCAGAATTATCCAAACATTCAAAATATGTATATTTAACTATATTTAATTAATTAAGCAATTAATTATTTAATAGAGACAATATCGATTGATTAATTTACTAAATGTTTTTAAATATATAGTTAAATTGTTTAATTTTTATTTTAATTTGATACGAGGTTTTAATTTTTGTTCGTGTTGGTAAATAACCCACAAAAGGATAGGTAACAATTATGCTATACTATAATTTTCGTACTACACACAAGTGGAAATATTTATTATAATTTGTTTATTATTATTATTATTAATGATTTTATTATTCTCATTATTATTGTGGTTATTATTAATATTATTACTAAAAGCTAATTCGAAATGGGTACATTTACGATACAAAGTACTTAAAATGACTTGCTCATTTTGTATCCACATTCTTTCCAAAGCATTCCACATGCTATTAATATATAAGTGAAATTGAAAAACACATGAAATTTGACATTTGGCTAATGCAGTTGTTCAACAATTTGTTGAAAAAAACGTTTCTACATAGGCGGGAATAAAATGATAAACACATTACATCATTATGATAAAATTGGATTTTAAAATTTAAACATATTTACTTATAGATATTAATTCGAGATAGATAGATAGAGTTTGTTGTTAAATTAAATTTAAAAGATGAGAACGGTTGGAGAGTAAGTTCAGAAAGTAAGGTGTCCTGCCGCACGTTGTTTTTGTTACGCTTTTCCCTGGTTCGAACGCAGTCTCGAATTTCATCTCGAAGGCTATCCTGCTCTTTGTGCGTATGATGAGGTATATAACAGGCAATATGTGTGTGTTTGTGTGTGTGTGTTTGGATGTTACATACAAATATGTGTGTATACGTCGTGTGGTGTACATGTTTCGTCTTATGTGGCACAAAAGTTTAACCGAGCTAGGCGAGTAGGGCTCGATTTGTTAGCAAGCAAATATGAGATTGATGATGAAGAAATGAAAAAATATTCATATAAGATGGAATAACATTGCCGTGTTATTTTATTTGACATTAACGTTCAATCTTTGCTGTCTTGCAAAATCATTTTTTCTATTCGTTTATTTATTTATTCTAAAATTGTACAAACAACTAAACTAGTGAACTAGTTGGCACTGAATCAGCACGCTTGAATGAAACTGTTATGAAGCTCTCAAAAGTTTTCAACGTCCAAATTTGTGACATGATTTATGACTGCTGTAATGTTAGTAAGTTGATTATGTTTAATAAGTTTTACCAATTTTGTTACATTTGTTATTTTACACCATATAAATTGCAATTAAAATGCTAGTGCAGCAGTCCAACTTTGGACGGTGACTTGGACAATGATGGCATGGTCATCCTTGCTTATTCATATGGTTTGGATTACTTTATAAAATTCATGAAATTAAAATATTTAAAATTTTGCTAGACTTCCTGAGCACTCTTTGAGAATTCTAGGATGTACACCATCTACTCCAATAGCTTTATTTACATTTCTTAATTTAGTCTTGATAATGATTTCATCAAAAGATGGGTCTGTGCATATAGCATTTGTCTTTGGTAGAGAAGTAGGAAAATTATTTTTATCTTCTATTGAGAAGACAGAGCTGAAATAATTGTTAAAAATATTTGATATTGGATGTCCAGTTGTTACTACAGAACCATCAAAATTTTTTATTGCTTTTATAGAGCCTCGAATGACTATTTTTCCATTCATATAGGCATATATTTTTTTAGGATGTTTTTTTGCATCTCTTGCTAAATTTTGTTCAAAATTCCTTACACATTTTCTTACCAATTTTTTTATTTCTTTATTAATGGCTTTGTATTCTAGGACTTTAACATGACCACTAAACCGATTCCTCTTGCATTCGTACCATGAATTCTTCTTTTTTCTGCTCATATTTTTCAATTCTCTTGTTATCCAAGGATGCTTTTTATTTTAATTAAATTTGTCTGTTTTTAATTTTGGAACATATTTGTTGCAACCCTCATTGTATAATATAATTCTAACCATTTACTTACAGTAACATTCTTCTACATCTTTATCTTTTGATAATAAATCCCAATTTATATTAATAAAAAAATTATTTTAATCTACAATAATTGCTTTCCTGATATAAAAATTTTCCTTTCACAGGTAATTTATCCTTTGAGTTTGAATCACTATATAATATATAGCTATGTCTAAATTCTAGTATTATATGATGACCATGTTCAATATTTCCCAAAGGTGGTGGATTTTGCAACATAAACTCTATTACATGATTAAGATAAAGTTAAAATTAAATCAAGAACATTTGTTAATAAACCTGATTCCTTTTGAAAAGTAGGTCCCATAACATTTTGATATATGAAGTAGTCGCCCCGGCCCCTAGATCCGCCACTGCCTAGATCTAGTAAAAAAATATCAGTCTAATAACTAGATCAGCGTAACATTAAAAAAAATCGAGCAATAATATGTGTTCATTAATGCATATGACAACTATTCGGTCAATTTAATTTAAGGTACTATACATCAAAAACGTCGGGATTTCCATCGGGATTTCCATTACCTAATAATACATTTTCATGCTTAAGAGGTTGAGTACTACATGAGTAAAGTAAAGAAACCATCAGCTTTATAAACTATATCAGCGCCAAATTCCCGAAAGTAATTGAACTATAATGCCTAGTTCATAATGATAACTTTTCGCGTCTAAAAGCTAAAATTAATAACTATTTCTTTCTAAAAACTGAGTTATGCTGACTTTTAATAACAACACTGCTCACAAGCGGGTGGTGGTAATAGATGATATAGAACTATATACTATAGAACTATATACATATTTATACATGGATATATATATATATATATATATATATATATATATTATATCCATGTATTTATATACATAGTTCAGTGACTAAACCATGGGACTAAACCATATTCATTACCTTACGATTTCTATGATATTTTAACAAGTTCATGACACAAGTCATGCTTAAAAAAAATGCGTATATAAAATACGTATAAAATAACTACACATTGACTTGAACGAAAAATATTATTCATTTTAGGCATGGATATATATATCCATGATTTTAGGCGTAAATAATGATCTAGCGTAAATAATATTGTAACAATTTTATAATATTATTATCATTGAATAATTTAATAACCAATTAAACATAATTAATTCCAGCCGACGCCGGACTCAACAGTAATAAATGTAACAAGTTCTTTTTGGTAATTACGAGCATGAAATTAGCCATATTACTTTATTTATTTCCGGTTTGTGGCAAGAGCTTATGTTACAAAAGTTAAGGAAATGACTTCAGCAGATGATTTGTGTTGAGTTAATCACAAATTACTTCATAATTAAATTGTAAAATTTTAAATTAAATATATTTCGCGATACACTTCAACATGGCGGAGTCAAAAACTAACAATTCAGATCAGTACAAGGGCTGGCTCTACAAGTGGACAAACTACATCAAAGGCTACCAGAAAAGATGGTTTGTCCTGCAAAATGGGTTCCTTTCTTACTACAGGTTCGCCGTTTTTTGTTGTTTTAGTAATTTGTATAATAATAATAATAATTTTTTTATTGAGTCATGGTTGCGATTTTGCATTTAATTGTTAATTTAATTTAATTTGTAAGTTAGTCAAGAATATTAATCATTTTCATGTCTCATGTGATTCTCATCTCTAAAAGTCTAACTAAACTAAATAATAAAATCAATGATTAATTTTTTACTTTTACTCTTTACTTTTAAAGGGGTTAGGCAATTAGGGAAAGTCTTTCTATTTATGTTTTTATTTTAGCTATCAAAATTTTCAAGATTTAAATTTAATAAGATTATTCTTTTTTTGATTTATTATTTCTTGGTTTTTTTAAGACATTATGTATTTATTATTTATTATTATAAATAATATTTTTTTAAATTATATAAGAAGAAGTATAATTTATGTTTTATTAGAACATAAAAAGCATTTTTAATTAGATATGATTCCTGTGTTCTTGCAGAATAAAACTTATACTTGTTAATTATACTATTACTTAACATAGCCAACTGACATGCGTTATTAAAAAGCCATTTTTAATGAAAAAAAATTTGCCACAAAAGTTGAATGGTTATCTGAGATTTGTTATCAGAATATGATAGCAGGTTTAATTATCCATTAGAAAATGCTTCCAAAGTTGTATTAATTTTTTTTTTTACATACCCTTCAAACCTTTTAACAAATTTTTTTCTTACAATATGTTTAATTGGAAATTTCTAAGAACATGCTCATTTATTTATACAACTATACAAAGATCACACCACAAGTGGTTGTTACATTACACATTGGTTCTTTCTCATCAGTCTTCAAACTTCATATTTTAATTTTTCTCAAGCTGGGTTTTATAACCAGTGTTTCATATTTCTAGGTTGTTGTTTTACATAAGAGTAAGTTCTGCTACTTCAAATGTTTTTCATCAATTATAATTACATTTTGAAGTTAGTTCTTATAGTACATAATTATTATAACTTTAAAACTTTTTTTTCTTGCCTTGATTTGAATCGATTTGAATTTGCCCAAAGATGTATACAATATGATTTCTTTACTTAGAAAATTACATAGTAGTTTTTTTGGTCTTTTTCCTGAACTCAAGAAACTAAATAACCTAATTTCAAATTAATTTTTTTTTTTAGGAACCAGGCAGAAATGTCAAATGCTTGCAGAGGAACCATAAATCTTGCGAATGCATTCATACATACGCAGGATTCTTGCAGCTTTGTCATATCAAACAGAGGAACAATGACCTTTCATTTAAAGGCCAGTTCAGAGGTAGAGAGGCAAAAGTGGGTTACGGCTCTTGAACTTGCCAAAACCAAAGCCATTACACTTTTAGAATCGGGTCAGTTGTGCATGTGTGTGTGTGTGGTTAGTGTATGGTAATAATAATGACAGCAAACTATAGGAATGATTCATAATTATTTTGTTCTGCTAGTTCATGATGATTGCATGAGCCATGCCATTGTTTGTAAATGTGTCTTGTTGAAGCCTTGTTGAATGTTTTAATGTTATTGATCCTGTCAATCAATTGTATTTGTGTAAGTTGCTCTCTTTCATGTGTGACTGTGTGTTTATGTGTGTGTGTGTGTTTGTGTCTGAGTCTGTGTATGTAATGTGTGCTGTTCATATGTGTCTGTGTGTGTGTGTGTGTATGTGTGTGTGTGTATGTATGTGTGGGTGTTTGCATTAAAGTGTTTTCAAGTATTGATGCAATAAATTTGAATTATCTATAATGATGCTTATTCATTCTTTCAATGTTTATAATTTAACATATGCTATTTTTATAACTTTTGCTTAGTAGCTTAACTTCTATGGTCTAAACATTTTCTTATTAAAATGTTTGTCATCATATCACCTCATATCTGTTTGTTTTAATATTTAATATTTTATTAGTAATTTTAAACTATATACACGTATATGGGTTATGTGTGTATATGTATGTGCGCCCGTGCGGGCATCTGTGTGCGTGTGGATATAATTTCACCCTTTACACTGTTAATTAAGACAATAAAACTCTGCTACAGCAGGTCATTATCATGTGAAAAACATGTGAGTTGGTTGTAACATTATAACATGCTTGGTTGGTATAATAAAGCTAGTTAGAAAGAGAGAAAAATTGTGTGATACATGGCCTGTGCTATGTGTGGATGATTTGAGACTGAATTAAGTTATTAGTGAGGTGATGTAATAAAATTAAATTATATGAATATTTGTTGTTTATTTGTTTTGGCTAATTTTTACCAGAAGACTTATAATTTATTGGATTTTTATAATGTTAAGTGTGAAATGAAAAAGTGTCAAAGATGGATCAGAATTTTTTTTCAATTTTCAAAGTTTTATGTTAAAGATTTTTATTAATAGCCTATGCTCACTCCTATTACAGTCTGTAACATATCACACCAGATGTTTCATTTGCTAGATGCTAAAGCATTCAATTCTGTTTTGTGTTTAATGATTGGACTTGCTAAACTTTATTTCATTAATTTCATTTGGCTCAAATTTTACTGTACATACATTAAATTTTTTTGTTATTTCTCTTTTTTATTTATGTCTACAATTTTTTATGCAAACTTGAACATGTCTGAGTTATATAAAGTGACAATGTGAAGAACAATGATCAAGTTATTTTTTCTAAGTTATGATTGGGTTTAGAAGTAACTTAGCATGTAGTGGGATTGGTGTTTAACATGTAATTTAACTACTTCAAGAATATGTGTATTATTTATAGATGACAAGTTTTTCATTTTTGCTTTGCTCCTAAAAATAATCTGAGGTGAGAGACAAGATAAACAGCATTTATGTATGTATGCGCGTGTGTGTGTGCATATGTATGTATTTATGTGCGTGTGTTTATGGGTTTATATAATGTTTGTCTGCTTAAATGTGTCATGCAAATACCTGATGTATGTAGGTATTCGTGAGTGTATGTATGTGTGCAGGTATATGTGTATGTACTTATCTATTTATATGCCATAGAGCATATAGTTTAGAAATGATATAACTTTTATATATTGTGTTGAATATATTTTATATATTGTGTTTTATATACTTGTTAGTCTTGAAAATATGCGCCTCTAGTAGAGTTATTCAGACAATTGCAAACAATTTTTTGTATAAACAAATAACAATGCTTTCACTATATAACCATCATGATGCAGTTGTTGTTTTTGTTGGAATAAAAGAATAGTCTGTAACTTATATGTTCTCTTATAAGTTCAGAATATGTAAATATTTTATGTAAATTATTGGGTTTGAATAGATTACCTTAAGAAGCTATTTATAAACCAATATATACATATACTTATAGGCATTATCTGTTGATTTGCATCATCATTTTTTTCTCCTGATAACATTGCTTGTTGAAGGCAGTATTGTTAGTGACTTTTTATGATAATATAAGAAATATGTCAAGCAATAGTATATATGATATAATATAATAATAGTTTATATTATTACTTGTTTTGATTTTCTTATTTGACTTAATATTTGTTTGTTTGTTTGTTTGATTGTTTGTTGTTAGTCTTGGATTGAAGAAGCCAATATCAAATTAGTGTCTTTGAAGTTGAATAATTTTGTCTGTTATTGTTACCTGGTTTGATTTTACCATGGTTGATAAAAAGATTACCTCAAGTAAACAATTAAAATTACTATCATTGTTGTTTAATTATTTTTATAAGTTAATTGTTGAAATTGTTGGGAGTTAATCAACTAATCATCCCTGCAATTTGCTAATTTTAATCTGACATAAACTTCATTCAATTATATTTCATTCTCCATTCATTCAACTAGTCATCCAAATAATAAATTACCCAGTCAATCTGTCAATTGATCCATCAATCATTCAGCAATCTAATTAATCATTCAATTGATTTATCAATCAATTGAACATCCGAAAAACTAATCTTTCAATTATTAAACTAATCAATTTATCAACCAACCAACTAACAAACCCACAAATTCTACACCACTCATCGAAACAGATGACGACGAAGACATCATACAATCAGACAAACGAGAAATACAGAACACACTGCAAACTCTATCTAGCAAAATCGACGACTTGAAGAATTGCAACGACTCCATCACGAAACACGGGGCCGCCCTGCAGAGGGCACTCGTCGATCTAGAGTCAACTGACAATTCCTCGGATGGAACGTTAAAAATTCAGTCGGTCATGGAACGAGCGAACTTATTTAGACTTACTTCCAACGCCATGATCATGGTTATTACATTGAGTTTGCTTGTGTTTGTATGTCTTACATGTATTTGGTAATTGCTATTTTTAGATGATTTATAAGTTTTGTTAAATGTATATATATCTGGTTGTTTGAGTTGTAATTAAGGTTTCGTTTTGTTGTTTTGGTGTTTCTTGTTCTTCTGCTAAATATTTGCTTACTGTCTTTTAACCTACTCCTAATGGAGTGATGGTCACTAGATTGCATATTGGGTTAATTTTTTATTTCTAGTGCGTTTTGAAAATGATGCTTCAGTATTTGTCTAAATACTAATTATATTATAATAAATTAACTATTATAAATAATTTTTGATACCTTAGGCATGTAATGAGTTCTTAGTGCTGGCTACTAATCAGGGCACAAGATGGCAGAAGCTGTTGCAGTATGAGCACGAGAGGCGTGTCTACCTGGAAGACATGGTCGAGCAGCTCGGAAAACAACACAGCAACCTCGAGAAACAGATCAGGAAATCTCTGATCCCCGGCAATAAAAATGAACAAACTATTAGCGAGATCGTCGGTGGGTTCACTTTGGCGTGTTTGGTCTCTTTGAAATTCACGCCACACTGTTATGGGTTCTTGGTTTTGAAATAATTTGAATAGCGTTGCTGTTCAAAGTTAGAAGTTTTAAGGCGAATTAAATGTCCTATGTTCGATTATCATCAAACTTTTTTCGAACTCTAATGCATGCTAGGTTTGTTGTAGGAAGATGCAAGGACATGATGATGTCTATGAAGGAGTGTGCTAAATGTGTGCAGTGTGTTTTGTTATTTCATTCATTCACGTAGTTGCTAGTTTGTATAATGTTCAAAAGTTTAATTAATGATATCCATAAATATTGTGGTGACTGTAGTAACCATGAGTTAATGTTACATATACTGCTGAAGTATGTGCTAATGACATGAATTTTTACATAGTCTCTTGTCTTTTACTTGTCTCTTGTCATTTTACCCATCATTCGTCTATGAAATCATGAAAGCTAACAACGTACAGCATGAAGAACAACCAATTTTTCAACCACTTGTGGTTGAAAAACGCTATCATTATATGGTATTGACAAAGTGATACCTGACCGTATATAAGTATATATATACGT